ATTATGTCTCTCCCTGAGGCTGCTGCTTTCTGTCTTTCCTTCAGAACAGCACAGAGGGAGGTTGCTGGGAATTTCTTTTCCCACCCTGTGCGTACGCAAGACCCGCTTTGTATAAAACAGACACAAACCCAAGCCAACAGCAAGGGGTTTAAAATGAGACCGCTGCGACTTTAAGAGCGAGGAAAAAAAAACAAACCAACCCTGTTAAGGAAGGAAAATAAAAATCCCACAGCCTGTTGTAGCAGCTGTAGCTTCAGATCGTGTGGAAAATGAAGGCAGATGATTCAATTTGGCCTGTGCCCCGAGTACATTTCCAAATGCTTCTGTGTGTGCGCAAGATAATGAACAAATATATTGAGATGGCACAAGATCAGTCCGAGTTTGCCGCCGCGCAAGGCGTGGAGCTCCCAGTAGGAGCGTGCGAGCTGTGCTGGGTTAATGGGGGTGAGGGTCGGGCAGCCCAGCACCTTTCAGAACAACTTAAGAAAAGAATTTGTCTCCTCTTGCCCCGGGCTCCCCGTGGCACTCAAATGGAGCTTGTGATAAATCGAAGTGTATTTATTAATAATGAGCAGGGGCGGCGTGCCCGTGATGGGAAAATAGGTGCGGCGAATAAAAACGTGCCTTCCTCTGACATGGGAAGAGCTTAAGTAAATGGAGAGCAGGCTGATCTATTATGATTAAAAAGCAGGGGCTGAGAGCCAGCGTAGAGGTAATGAAAAAGCCCTTTTAGGGGGAAGCAAGACCCATTCTGCCCATTCACATATTCCCTCCACCCCTGCTCCACGGGCAAAAATAGGGAGGGGGAAGTTGGATGGGAGAGATGGAAAGGCAGCAGCATTCCAGGATAGCAGAACTGGACTTTAATGAGAGCTGGAGTTATTACCAGGATGAGTTATGATATTTAATCATGCTACATGATGTCCAACAGCGCAAGGTTCATAATTCTTGGCTCTGAACGTGGCGTGGGACTGTCCATGAGCACCTGCAGCATTCAGATTGATCCTGGCCTTACAAACCCTCTGTGCCTTGCCCCCAGTCCTTCCCCACCGAGCCAGCACTGTCTGCAGTGCTGGCCCGCTCCCACGGAGCTGGAAACTCTCTTCCACTTTCTCAAACAAAGATCTGTCATTCCTGGTAAAAGCTGGATTGTAGCTGTTGCAGAGAGCCAGGATTGCCTGCTGCCAGCTTTCTTCTGCAGTGTGTGGTGGGTCAGGGGTGTTATTTATCTTGTGGGAGACTGCGTTGGTCTGGTTTTTAAGCAGCCTTGGGTTTAATTAATGCTCTTGGAGAATTCCCTTAACTTCAGTGATGAAACAGGCTCTGCTTGAGTAAAACTTCAGCACCTATTCCATGTTTCAATGCATATATATGGACATGAATGTCTTGCTGCCTTAGTGTTTGGATGAAGACAGGATTTGGGCTTTGGAAAAGATAAATTATCAGTAATTGTCTCCTTGTGCCTTTTTTATTTTGTTCCAGCTTAGCTTTCCTGAAGTGACTCAGAAGTCAGCCTGGATTTAAAAACAGATCCCCTCCCACCCCCAGCCCTCAGGAGACAAGTCTAAGGAGCACCTTTCCAAGCCCCTCTTTGCTGAGCTTTGGGCATTGGGAGTATTTTGAGACACTGTCTGAGTTGGGAAGGCAGCTTCTCCCAGGTGGCCCTGTGTTTCCATAGGATATTTGGCTCCTCTGCCTGAGGTGTTTAACCCTGGGGGTGGGTGTTGCAGTAATGCCTGTGTCTCTGTCTCTGCAAGTGTGTGCTAGGAGAGGATTATGTTTTGTGTATGAACTTGGGGAGTTGGTTGTGCTGAGGCAGCTGGTTGTGCTGAGCCCAGCTCCCTGGGCTGGGAGCAGGGCTGGGAACCCACCTCGCCCCTGGCTCACAGAGCCACTGCAGTCTCTGAAACAGTAATGACCTTTTCCAAGGGAGAGGAATACTAGCTTTTGTAGTAAAACTCAATCAGGGAACGTGGTTAGGAGGAATTTCTGGAACTCAAGCAAGAACACCCACAGAAAATCACTAGAAATCAAGCAGCAGAGTCAGTGGCAGCTTTGGGAAAGAAGCTTTTGTCCAGTTCGCTCATACCCGGGTCTGCTGAGAGTGCCCCTGAAACCAATGCATCCATTTAGCAGAACAACTTGTCCTCCTCGTTGGGTCCTGCATGTGGCTCATTAGGGTAATTACTGATGAATTAAGGCAGCTTGGCTGAGCGCTGGGGCTGCGGGTGTGCGGGCTCCCCTGCTGGCAGGCAGCAGGTGTAAATGAACAAGATCTGTCAAAAAGGCTGATGACCCTCTTAATTCACAGCAGCAAACTGGGGACAGAGGTAGTGCAGCAAGTTTAATAATTGATATTTACTTGGAAAGGTTAATGGCAGCAGTGATGCTTCTAATTTGCTTGCCCGTGCAAGACCTTGTCAGGTCAAATTGTCTCAATTTGTTACTGTGGGTGTAGGTGTAGTTTTCCTTTAATGAAATTTGGAGAAAAGAAACAGGTGGTGTTTGGAGCTGACTGTAACTCAAGAAAAACAGCAAAAGGTTCGAGTCTGGTAACAGGTTGGGTGAGTCTTTGCTAACTTTAAACAGCTGGCAGTTTAGTCCTTTTGAATTAATTCTGGTGACCATTTGCGCTCGGGAAGGTGAAAGGATTTGGAATGGTGTAATTTATTTTTCCTTTAATTTGCAACCGTCTAGGAGTTGTTTAGGTCAGAAGTGTAATAATCTTGACAGGCTTTGATGTGTTCCTAGGTGGGAGGGTTAAGGTTATGGATCAGAAATCAGAAAGCCGCAGAATTCAGTAGGATTTCTGCACTGTATTAGGGAAATTGTAATTCTGTTCTGTAATGGTTAAGTGGTTCCTGTTTGAGGCAGAAACTAAGCACCTGCTGCCTGGAAGCATTGAGATTGGCAGGTCAGATCCTTTACAGCCAAGAGTTTCAGAAGAGCTGGCTGATGGCTGGGAACCAGTGGAGTTGGGTTTTGATGAAGTGTAGGAAGACCCAGATGACAGAAGAAAGCTGGTGTGCCAATGTTTTTGAAAGGCTGTAATTAAGGGGATATTACCACTTGTCTTATTGGCTTGGCGTCAATCCTAGGCGAGATAATGGGGTAGCTGAAGTAATAATTGGTTAATAAAGACCTAAAAAAGAATAAAGTAAGTGAATGACAATAATTTTATACTTAGGGAAAAAAAAAATCTCACCAAATTTCCTTAATTATATGTGGAATTAAAAATTTGATGGATAATGGCCAATATTGATGTAGCCTAGTTAGATTTCTGTGTTTGACGTTGTTGACCTATTTATTAAGGAAACAGACGGCACGGACTGAACACGGTGCATTTCGAGTGGGTTATTTCCTGCAGAGAAATGTGTGGTGCTGGTGGTTGCAAATGCAAACTCAGTGCTGGCTGGAAACACTTCCAGCAGCTCGCAGGAGGGTTCAGCTCTCATTGCTGTGCTGTTGGAACATTTTGATGTAGGAGCAAAGATGAAATACTGGTCTTGATAAAAGTTTGCAGCTGGGCAGCGTATTGGAAAGGTGGCTCACGATGAGCGAGACGGGCACTGTGCTGGGAGTGGTGGTTGTGTGATGGGGTGACCATGAGCAAATGTTTGCTTCTAGGGCTTTGATGTATCTGAGTTTAAAAGTCTTATCCTGCGGAGGAAAGTGAATTGGTGAGGTGTAAAGTGGCAGAAAGGCATGCAGAGTAAGGACTTCCATCAGCAATTTACTGTTGCTTGGACATGAGCACAGTACTTTCCCTGTCTTCTGCTGCCCAAGCCTATACAGGGCTGTGTACTACTGGATGAGTAGTGAAGTTCATTCTCCATATAGTGCCCTGAACATTGTATTCAAATATGAAGAGGCTGCGGGGCACTTGGCTGGCAGTGCTGTCGAACATCCATGGCAGTGCAGGGATCAGTGTGCTCCCGGGGCTCAGGTTGCAGTGCCCACGTTGTGGCAGTGTGCCCAGCCAGCCTGGTGCCTTGTGCCACAGGGGCAGGGCTGGGGGGGTTATATCAGTACCACGAGCAAGCCCTGCTGGCCGCTGACACTGCCAGGAAATGGGACAGAAAGAAACAAAGGGATTTTATTACCATTAAACATACCAATTTGTACAAGCCGACATTTTAAATAGTGTAATTTAAATGGAACCAAACTGATATGAATAGAACCTATTAATAAATTAAACACTTCTTTCCACCCAATATTTCACAAGGGAATTAGCAGAATAATTTGTTAGTAAATGAGCCCAGGAATGAAGCTGTGAATGACATCTATCCTACCCCTCTCCTCCCCCTGTAACACTCTTTGCAGATGTAAGCGGGAGGTTGCTGTGATTTCAAACATTGCCTCTCTCACTTCAATCCAAAAACGAGTTCAACTTCAGGGAAGGAAGTAGGATGATGTAGCAGTTAGAGAACAAGCCTTGGCTGTAAGAGTTAATCCTGCATTAGTTCGAATTCCCTGTGGTATCTCAAGTGAGTTGTTTCAGGCTGGTGTCTCTTGCTGGCTGCTGTGCCAGTCCCAACCTCTTGGTGCAGTCACTGGGGTGGCCCCAGGGCACATCTGTGGGCTGGGGAGCAGTGACCTGGCTGTGGGGTCAGCAGTGACCTGGCTGTGGGGTCAGCAGTGGCCCAGCAGCAAGAGGCACCAGTGGGACCCCAGTGTCACAGCCACGGAGTGCTGGGAGCAGAGGGACGGGATTTGTCCGTCCGCTCCCCTCTCACCTCAGCCCAAGGACTTTGGCACAGCCTTGCCCGCCTCCAGGAGTGCCAAAAGCACCACTTCCCTCACATGTTAGTGGAAAGGAATATGGACACACGTGGTCAAGCACAGCTGCAGAGAAGCCCCGTGCATTCACAGGCGTCCTCTCCTCTGTGCCATGGGCGTAGGAGTGAAACTTTGACTAAACTGCTCTCGGCGACCTCGGGAACAGGTGGCAGAGCAGTGCTTGAAAATCTCCTTTTTCCCCCTCCTTCTTCTCCCTCTAGATGAAGGTCCCTACAAGCAGAAGTGGCAGAAATAGCGAGGAAGACAGCATCAGGGAGGCCACAAGCTCTCAGCGGAGCAGCTCAAGGGACCGTCTCAGTGATGTAAGTACCATTCAGGAGAAAGCATCGCTTCATTGCAGCAATTCCCGCTGCTGACATGGCTTTTCATAAATCTTGCTGAACAAATGTTGGCATCCAGAGGTCACTGTGTAATAACTTTTTTTTATGTCATGATTGAGTGTTACGGCATAAGTGGTTGAGCTGCCTTGCAAACACTATAATCATGGTGCAAATAATATGATAAGCGAAAGATCAGAGATGGGAAAACAAAATGGAATTGTTATTCCTCGGGGAAGAGTGGCTTGATGTTTTGTTTTGTTTTCCTAAAGAAGTTGTGTTAAAAAGCTTTTTGCAGTATCTTTGGGTTTAGCTGCTGCACGTAATCACATAGTTTGGGTGCAAAGTCAGTTCATCTAATTTTATGCTTCCTGCCTCCGAGATATGAGAGGTTTTTTGGGGGAAAGCTGTCTTTCTCTCAGGAAATTCGATGGTACGTTGAGTGAAATGTTATGATAAAACAAAAGCAAACGGTGCCCTAGTGTGTAAACACACAAATGGGCTTTTGAGTCACCAAGAAATCAATGGCAGTGCTGGGATAATTTTATATGAAGGCTTTTTGTGTTAGCAATTAGCATTTCGCCTTCATTAAAACATGATTTTTTACTAATTAGGACCTTTCCCGTTAGGAGAGATTTAAATGAAGAACAATAATCAAACGCTGGCACGAGCATGTCTGAAATATTAAATTTGCCATTTCAATGGCAAGCCACAGAAATCCCAGAGCGAGTGGTTTTCATGTTGAGTTCTATTAATGTAAAATATGCTTCATAACTAAAACCTGTCACAGAAAACGGCTCACACCAGCTAAATTCAATTGGACAGTTAATTTAGCTTTAAAATTGAAAACACTACCTCCGCTTCAGGATGCAAAGGGGAGAGGGGGAAAGCCTTTGATAAGTGTAATGTATTTGCTATTAAGGCTTTCAGAGCCCATTCTACGGGAGGAAAAGGGAGAAAAAGGGGAAAAAATGGCTCCCACAAATGTGTTTAAAAGCTGAAAGTATTTATTAAAAATGTCAGCAGAAAAGTGCTTTTGGCAGATTAAAGCGGGATTCGGCTTGACAGCTCTGACAGGGAAATGTGATGGGGGAAAATTCTCTCTACATGTTTGGAGTGTGAATGGGGCGCTGTAAACAGCCGACGCGGTGGGAGGAAGAGAAAAATAACATGTCCTGTGATCTGCTTCCAGGACTGGGAACCCACGCGCCGTGGTGGGGGCATGGCAGCCGGGGGGGACCCGGGGACAAACCCCCTCTGCCTGCGGGGCGTCTCTGGCCGGGCTGTCGGTCGATAATGATCGTAATTTTATATCTGCATACAGTGGTGTGATTCTCTCCTTCCCCTCCCCTGCGCTGCTCCCGGTGGCTGTGTGAGCAGGGGCTCCTGGCAGGATTGCTGTGCTGTGACGTGGGGCCACAGGGAAGGAATGACACGTTCCCACGTGGCGATTAGCGCAGGTCAAAGCGTTAAGTGGTCTTGGAGACTTCCCTTGTTAAGCCGATGCACTCCCGGTTTTTTCTCCTCCTTTCCCTTTGCCCCCCAAAGTTGCAGGCTGAGCCTGTAGGAATTGAGTCTGAGGGCCTAATTCCTGCAAAATCTTCAAAGCCTGTCCAGCAGCCAGTGCAGTCCAGGGGGGAATAGGCACTCTGTTCTTTTTTAGTCAGCGGGGACAGTTGGGCAGTGCCTGGAGGCCGGGGCACACTTCAGGGCTTTGCTGAAGTGCTCTTGTGACCTGGTGACCCATTGCAAATGAGGATTTTTCAAATTAGTAATTAAACAGTTTGAAAAGTAAGGTTCATGAATCACAGAATGCTCTTCGTTCATTATTCGATGAGTGCAATTTAGCTTTAATTACGTATAAAGCTGCCTTGCGTACTGGTACATGTTCTGTAGCCTATTTAGCGACTGTCTGAAAGCCTTAGAAAGTCCCACGGGTGCAATCAGATGGTTTTCCCCATTTCTGTGCAAAGGGATAAGGCAGCAGACTTGTTGCCTTGTAGAGAGGGAGCAGGGAAAGGCAGAGAAGATGATGACGTTGTCCTGAGTGCCAATTCCTGCAGGATTTCTGTCCAGCCATGCCTGGTCCCTGTTGGCCCTGGAGCTGTAAGTCCCAGCACACTGTTTATATAGCTGGGGTGCCACTGGACTGGCACAACTCCTTACATGTGGCACTGAGGATCAGAAAGCCACAGGGCAGTGAAGACAAAAAGGGGGAGACAGGGACAGTGTTTCCTTGTGGTTAGTGGTTCCAAACGGGACTCCAGCACGTGGCAGTGTCCCTGCAGATGGATGCTCTGCAGCAGGAGGCACCTGGGCTGTTCCTCACTCTCCTGTTGTTCCTTGGTGCATTTGGCCTGGTTTTTTATGCTGCCCTTCCCTCCCGTCTCTTTCCCCATTAACTTGGGTGAACAAAGGGGTAAATGAGGCAGGAGGTGGCAGGTTTGGCTGCTGGGTGGTAGCACACAGCAGGTGTGGTGGGAATGTGTGTGTGTGCAAGTGTCACCTACAGCGTTCAGCGTTGCCACCTCAGGAGTGTGGGAGTCCTCCCTCCGGCTCCGCTGTCCTTCCCCATTCCAAAGGCTCCATCTCGAGCAGCTCAGCTCCCCTCTGCTGTTTGTTCCTCAGGTGACTCATTCAGTGGGATGCCAGCAAGTTGTTCTTTATTTACATTAGTGCATGTCATTAGTCTCTAATGGACCGTGAAGTCAAGAGGTGGCCTGGTCTGTCGTGAAATAATTGCCCTCCAAAGAAAACTGAAGCAGAGGATTGGTTCTGTTGTGCACACACAAACAGCCCTCAGTCTGTCCACCACAAACCCCAGAGCATCCTGCTGCTCCTTTGCCACAAGTGAAACTTCTGTGGGGAGAGAATGATACAATTTCTTACTAAGACAGTAATTGTCTGGCTCATGTAGTAAGTCTTTCCAGACATTACACTGAGTGCCATTTATTATGGGTCATCGGGGGAAAAAAAGCGCTTATTATGATCTAGTGAAATCATCTCTGGCTGCAGAGGTTTGATTTGTTGAGGCTGGGCTCTTCTTTGGGATGATGAAACTTCAGAGCAGGAAAACAGTGAAGTTTTAGCCCAGGTTTTATGGTGTGGAGAGGGGACGGGAACCTGCCACTTGTTTATGTTCCCAGTGTTGATATAAAATTCCCTTAAAAACTACTATAAAACTGACATCCCTATTACACATGTACTCTCAACCAACACAGAGTCAACAGCCTTCTTCCAAAATGGGGTTTTCCTCTGCTGTCTTTCATAGTGAGGTAATTGGAAGTTGCCAGAGAATTAAGAGCTGGATAAGCCATATTGCTATTTTGTTGTGTTGACCCAAGTAAAAGTGGAAGGCTTGGGCATTTTGTTTTGGGTTTTCCCCATGTTCCATAATTGTCCTAATCTTTTCTGATGTCCTGAACAGTCCAAAAATCCACACAGAGCCTTGTATAATGGCTTGAAAAAAAGGTTTTTATCTTTTTCTTGACCCATCAGCTTAAGAACTGCCTGCTTTTTAATGGATTTTCTCCCTCACTAAATTGAATGGATCGTCCCTCATTATCATTTAAATAGAAGCCTCACTCCCTGTGAACATGGAAAATTTGAATGTGGTAGTAGAGCTGTGATAATTTGAAATATTCGGAAGGTGGGGGCAAGGAGGGGGAACAGGCGGCAGAGTGCAGAATTGCTGAATGTAATTGTCATGGATTCTCAATTTTGTTGCCACAAGATGGGAAAATAGACTAATAATTGTCTTCCAACCCTAGTAGAATAGTTGCCCTAGTTAGCTGAAGCTAACACTCTAATTGTCATGGGGGCACAGAGATGAATGAGGATGTATGCAGGGCACAGCCAGGGCTAAATTGAGTGATATACTAAGGCAAAGAGCAAATTGGCAATTATTGGCCCAGCTGAAAAGGTTGGCAGGTGTGCTGCTTTCTCACGAGCCCTTAGGGGGAAATTGGAAATATAAAATATCGACCATAAATACTGGCTGATTAGGAAATATGTTGCAAGAGGTGCTGGCCACTTAAGAGTCAAAACTCTCCTTTTCAAGGGATTGGCTTCAGCTGTGCATAAAACCAGCAAGCGCTGCTACTAAGTTGTTCAGAGCCTTTACCTCTCATCCCCCAGGCTATCTTTTCTAATTTTCCATCATCCTATCCTCATATGTTTGTTTGTTTTTCTTTAAACATAATAAACGAAAAGCGGTCTTTTAGGAAATGCAGAGATCTTCCTCTCTCTAAATGTTCTTTGATAAGCGTTTAGCATATTGTATAGGCTAGATATAAAATTCTCTCTCTGGTAGATGAATACAAAATAACTTCTGTGATTTCTGATTCAAGCAGTTCCCTGTGATCTGCTTTTCTTTGTGTGCCATCACAGGCGCTGTCTCCCCCCTTCCCTCCTGCTTTCCGTGCCACGCTTCCCCTCCTGGGGCACGGGGATTAGAGCAGCAGCAGGGTACGAAGCTGCAGGTCCCTTCCCTGTGCCTCAGGCTGAAGTACCTTGCCAGAAGCACAATCAGATGAGCCTCTGAAGTGAGAGTTGGGCCACAGTCGCTCCACAGCTCCGTGTTTATCCACTTTGTGAACTCTGGTGCGTGTGCAGTGCCTGCTCTTGGCTCCGGGCAGGGTGGCAGTGCCACAGCAGAGCTTGGCGTGTCTCAGGTCGGGAAGGTCTCAGTGCCATGATCAGGGATGTTACTGAGTGGATTGAAGGAGGTTTTTGGAAAGCCTGGGGTAGCAACACGTGGACTGCAAACTCTTTGTGGCACGTGCTGTGCATCGTTCCCCGTGTGTAACGCTGGAATCTGACCCGCAGTTGGAAGAGTGGAATAAGAGCATCACAGAGCTTAGCAAAACAGAGGTAGCAACAGGATAGTTTTAAGACGCCCTCCTCAAAACATGAATCTTGGGAAACTGCTTTGAATATACACGGAAGGATCGTGACAACTTGCAAGTCACGTTCTTCTGGAGGCA